TTCTTTCTTGGGTCTTGCCCCCACCCCTCCACAAAATATCATGGAAACGGTTTCTGTATTTTTTGCATAATACTGCTGACTAACAGACAAACAAACACAGATGAAAACATAACCTCCTCAGTGGAGGTAATTAGCTCCACTGAGACCGACAATAAAATTGAAATACTGATTACATTTGAGTGGATCAGTGAAAAAATGATCCAACAATAACACCCACGGGAGATATTTTCATACATTAGTTCCTTTACTTTAAGGACCCAAGTTACAGAGTACCTTTATAAAGTAGTATCTGCATGCTGTCTCCACCACTAATGGAATTAAACATGGGATAAAAGTATTTAGAATTGGGAATTTTTCCTATTCGGCCGACAGAGCAGACATGAAATGAGGAAAGACAGTTTAGGGAAGACATTCTAAACATTCAACAACCTTTTTTCTTTTCTACTTTTTACTTTTTCTTTTACTTCTATTTATTAAGTTTTTGAATAGGACACAAAATATGACCCGGGGTGTGAGTCCTCCTACTGTAGCCGCGGATTTGGTTCTGACCTGGCAATTTGCTTTCCCCATTTCGTACTATCCAGTCAATAAAGACAAAATATATATAGAAAAAATACAAATGGTGGTTGTCTGATCTTCAAGGATCAAATGATCTTCATGCATCTATGTATCTAATGATGAATAGATGGGTAAAAAATGCTTCACTTGTGAAATGGGTTCAGTGTTTCCATTTGCCAAAATCTCGAGTTTCTTTTCCAACATAAATTATACAACATTATGTTTGCGACTTCTTTGGATGGTCCTCATAATTAACTTTGCCTGTAGAAACATTTGCTAGTAGTTCAGAGCAATAATGCAATCAAAATAAATAATTCTAATGTTTAGGTCACATTCTGATGCAATCACAATGTATTAATCATAACGTTATGATGTGTTTGTATGCAACTACCTAGTAAAAAACTGTAAGTATTGCAACCAGCATATTCATAATAAAGCTGTATGATTTCTACAGATTTTTGCATTGCACATCCATAGATTTATGGCTATGTGAAACCAACTAACAGCTTTATGAGAATAACATTTACATGACGCAGGTGATTGATGCTTACTGAAAACCAGGGGCTATTTTCCATCTCATCCAAACTTTGCCTTGACCACACATGTCTGTCACAAGTTCAGAGAGCATTTGAATGTGGTTGACAGACGTATAAATGGTTATAAATGGTTCCTCAGACAGAATGTTGAGAGAGCGTTTAACCCCAGAATGAATGATCCGGGACCTCCCCGAATTTACCCACAATAAAAAGACACTCGAGCATCCCGATACAAATATTGGGTGATTTGTCGGCTTCTTTGTCATTTTATGACATTTTAAAATGACATTCTGTAAACTTCAGACGGCGTGAATACAATCAATAGGAGATGAGTTAAGCCTGTGTTTTCAAGAGGCTTTTTGTAATTTAAGAGTTTGTGTACAAACATCTGATGATTGAACAGCAAGTACTCGATTATACTCACACACAGATGATTGGATCTTACCAGCTTGTAAATACAGAGCGGCGTGGGCCAAATGTGCAACATTTACTGTGAGCCTTCTCTGTCTTAGCATTTCATTTTGTTCTCACACTCTTCCACTCTGAGACCACAAATCGTGCATAAACCCATACACACATACATGCACACAAACACACTCCCTGGTGCATCCACAGTACACCAAATACCACCTTTTTTTTTTGATGGAAACAATAAACCCCCCCCTCGTAGCTGCCTAATGCCCACAGGTCTCAACACATACACCCTTGTTATGTCTTCTTCCCAGGGCAGGGAGTTATACATTATGTTATCTCCCTAATCTGCAAACCAGCTGCAACTGGAAACGAATTAATAACAAATAAAATGCGCCCAGTACATAAAAATGTGTAGATTGCCCTGGGGCACCTAAACAGGAAACAGTGAAACAATTAGACTTCTTGTTTTGTTCTGACCTCTCTTTTGTTTTGTTCTACTTCACTGCTGAATAGAAGGAGCACGAAGATAGAGACTGTTGTTTCTCTGTGTCTGTAATCACCACGGTTAAGCCTCCCTGGTCATAGCAGGGGTCAAATCTGCGTGAACACCCACTTTTCATCCTACAGTGAAATTAAATACAGCGCTGCAGTCGAGCTCCATGAATGCTGTAATTCTCTGCTGACTGCAACCCACACCAAGTGCTGCAGTCAAGCCACCCAGGCCTGCGCGGTACACACATGTGATAACAGGCAGCGGCGGTATGGCGTCCTAATTGCGAGCCTGAGTGCTATTGGAGGGAGTTTTCAGCAGGTTTCTTTTTCACTTTCGCTCCATTTGATGTCTTTGAAGCTGCTCTTTTATCCGCTGTTGCTCCTGATGGCTGTTGTCTTTGGTGTAGTGCTGTGTGCGTCCTGCTCTTTGAACGCTTCTAACATGTAACAATTGCGAGCCCTAGAGAGAGAGGAGAGGAGAGAGGCTGCTCCTCTCACATAACTTTCCTCACATAAATTCATACACGCACGGCTACAAACAGGATATATAATCACATTTAGCCACAGCCAGTCACATGTTTTTTTTTTTAAATACTGCTGTCAGTAAAAAACTGCTCTGTGCGATTGTTTAACGTGCCCTAATTTGATAAAGGCCCAAGTGCGGGAAATGAGAGAGGAGTGTATTTGTCTCAGGGGTTGTAGTGGAGGTAAATATAGCAACAAGACAGCACCAGTTGATATGAAGGATTCCATGGTGTGGAGTGCTGTTGTGACTCACCAAGCTTTGATGTGTGTGTAGGTGTGCATGTTTGCTCACATGCATTTGGCTTCATTCATTGTGTTGATTACATATATTTGATGAACTTGAAAATCATTTGTTACCGACTAACTCAGTGTGCGTAATAATCCACTGCGAAAGGACAGAAAGTGAGAGTGTGCAAGTTGACTATGTGGGGGGAGAGCAGGGGAAAGCAGGCGGGAGGTGAAGCCGGTGAGAAAGAGCCTGTGTGGCTGGCTCCCGGCTGGCTGCGTGTGTGGGGGGTTGCATGTGTCTTAAGTGTGTGTTGAGAGGAGAGTGAGGGCGCTGGTCGTCTCCCTGTCTAATCAGAAGAACACTTGTGTGTCCCCGTCTCATTGTCTCTTGGGCCCCTTCTGAGCAGAGCCTGTCCACCCCTCCACCCCCAGCATCTGCACCTCAGGCAGGACATGCTGATAGCTGACCACTCCACCACCACAGACACACAGTTCACATACAAGTCACATACAAGACTTTGGACTGAAACGCTGAGGAGGTGCAGGGAGGATGAGTGTGAATGCACAGGCGCCGTTCAGGCTGATGATGAGTCCTGCGGGGGATGCTGAATATTACTGGAAATTAATGATCCCATCACAAATTCACTGTTGTAGTTTTGATTAAAATGTACAGGAACGTCCTTGTGGTGTACTCAATAATGAGCACAGTGACACTTGTGGTTTATGGCATTTTTTTCAGTCTCATATCTCTAATATGTTTTCCTTACCCTTTGAATCGGTGCTTTTTTATTCTCAAGGAGAATTTTTCATGTCTTGAAACAAAATGAGATGCCAGAGGAAAAACTGTTCTACATGAAATGATTTAATCTGCAGTGAATAATGTAATTAATGTGACATAATGAACTTAACCTCACAGTGGTCAATAGGAGTGACACACACACAAACACACACACACACACACACACACACACACACACACTACAAAGTTTTTCATGAGGGGGACAGTCACAGGACAATGCGCGCCCCCGAGACCCCGGCTTTCCTGGTACATCGCAAGGCAGCGGTGCGCGCTCCCGACTCAGCAGTTTCCCAGTTCCGTCTCCTCCATTACTGGCGAGGCTCCCGATCAATAATTCAATAGTTTTGGCGTCTGTCCTGCCCCGAACGTCGAGCTCCACAAACACTGTGCAGACTCCATGTGCAGACTCTGTGAGATCGGTATTAATTAATAGCTAAAGACATTGTGTTTTGTGTGGAGATATCGGAAGGATAACGCGATCTGGATTCCTATAATTACAGGCTCTCGTGTCGGGTGTTTATTAAATGTTCAATAAGAGGCGGTTAAGATGTCAGGAAATGAATCGGGCAAATTTGTAAGTCAAGTGAGGCAGCCGATGACAAATCTTTTTTTTTCTCTCCTCTTTGCACACAAAGACCTTGGTTTGGTTTTATGAGCTGCGCCTATATATGTTTCCATGCGCAAAACTCCAAAACTCCAGGACATAACCATGGTCATAGCGCACAGTTTGCATTCTGACATGGGCACGAGGCCAAGCGAGGCATGAGTATTCACAACTGGAATTTCACTGAATACCATTAACCTATATTTTACTTGATAGCAATATGTTCAAGAAATAAAGATGTTTTTCTTATTTATCAAAGATTATTTCTTATAGTATTTTTTATCTTGAATGCTACTGCAACTTAAGTATGGCTAATTGTCGAATGCATTATTGATGTATTTTAAAAAAAACAAACAGTGGATATAATTACGTTTAAGAGCATCTTTGTTCCTTATAATTATTAGGCCGTTGGGGATTATCTCAAGGGTCCAGCAGGATGTAATTACTGCAAGAACAACACCGTCGTTTCAAATCTGAATGAGTATCATGTTATTAAAAAAAAATGACTGTGCATCAATGCTGCAAAACTTTATCTTTGAGTCACTGAACGACCCCCGTCTTTTATTCTTTATCTGACTTTTGTATTTTTTTTGCGTCTACTGGAAATAACCAGTCCTCCACTCCAAACACTCCATAACCAAACTATGAATAATGCATGACTTTAAACATGGCAGCAGCAACAGACACCATGTTCCTGACTAAACGGGCCTGTCACAACTGTGACGTTATCAAAAGACCTACAGCTACAGGCATGAATTATTAAAAATCTATTGCCCTCAAAGGTTTACCGCCCATAATAAATGTGATAAAGGCCAATTCAATTTGTAAGAATAATGTCAAGGCGTTAAAGAAACTTTAGTTAATTTATTGTAGGAACGAAAGAACATTTTTGTTTCGGTGGATTCACGTTTCACATGTGATGGAAAAAAGTAAAACATTTTCATGAATACTCTTCTTTTTTTTCTTCTTTTTTTTTTTAGAAACCCGTGCCTCAGGTTAATTTCACTTCCACTGTTATAAAAACATCAAAATTACATACAGAAAGCACGTGATTTTTTTAATACACGGAAATAAAGTAAAATACAAAATGAACAACTTCCCCACAAGGCATCCATAAAGCCACGAAATCATAAAAAATAATGCATGTGTTTTTTTTGTGTATAAACATATTTTACATCACGTGCCCGTACCGGTCCAGTCCTCGTGTTTGTTCGTTTGTTGACTGTGTTGTAAAGGTGGTTTAATGACATTGCACCCTCCTTTAGAAGGGGGGAAGCAAATCTCCACCTAGAATATGGACACTGAAAGTTCAGCAGAGCCTACACATATATTATAATCTCACATTAGTGGTGTGTGCCGCCCAGTTTCACCTCTTACACCAGAGGAGGTCCACACAAGGTCAAACATACAGGCCCAGACATTCGGGGGGGGAGGGGGGGGGCTCACATCACATCATCCATGCAAACACTGCTGATGCCATTTCTGAATATGAACCAGAAACACTTCGTTCATTATTATTGTCTCTCTTTTTTTCTTTTTCCCCTCTCGTCTGCTTTTGTCAAAGAATTCCCGCTCTGTCCGTCCACAGAGAAAGTGTTTTTGTTTGTTGTTGTTGAAATATAACGAGGCCAGCCTCTATATAAGTTCAAAATTAAAATCAGAACAATAATAATAATAATATCATATTGAAACAGAACAAAAACAGCTGCAGGATGGTGCGCCTCATGGTTTTGGCAAAGTGTGGAGCGTCCCAGCTGCATCCTCTTCCTCCTCCTCCTCTTCCTCAGGGTGTCCCGCTGCGGGGGGCTCTCCATCCCTCCATCCCTCCATCCCTCCATCCCTTTCTCTTTCTTTTTCTTATGTCCAGAAGTCTGTGTAGGCTATCAACAGTCTCTTTTTCTTTATCACATAAATAGCCTATATTTTTTATATAACTCATCGTCCTTCATTTTTTTAAAAAAGGAAACATAAATATCGTCCATGGATAATTCTTTTCCTCGGGTTGCGTCACTCTGTGAGCGTTCGTTTCGTCTCGGGGATGTGCCGGCCAGTGCGCGCACGCCCCGTATCCGCGCGTAGCCTCCCCGCGGCGTCACAGTCCCAGCGCGGCCGCGTGCTTCTTGGCCTTCAGCCGCAGGTCCGCGATGCTCGAGTTCTTGCTGGTGTTCTTGGCGGCGGCGGCGGCGGCCACGACCGACGCGGCGGACGCGGACTCGGCCGCGAGCGTCGCCAGAGGCAGCCCGAACGGCGGCGCGGGGAACATCATGTAGGGCGCGTGCGCAGCCAGGTGAGAGTGCAGGTGGTGCTGCGCGTGGGCCACGGCGCTGTCCAGCTGCAGCTGCGCCTGCACCTGAAAGGAGAAGGGCGGCACGTTGCAATGACTATCCTACGGGACGGGACGCACGGATAGGGGGAGAGAAGGGGGAGAACATGCGTTAACTTTGCAGCGGGATGCGTGAAGGCTCATTTGACTTGTGTGTGACTGCTGCACATGTGACTCAGCTGTGTGGTGTGCGTGTGCTACGGGCCATCATTCGGCCCCTGAGTGTTGACTTGTGCAACTCTTGTGAATTAAAGGTCAACTTGAGAGTTTATTTATTTGAACATCAATAACATGAAATCTAATCAAATCAGTTCAAACCTTCACTGCCTCAGGGCGTCCTGGGCCTTCCACACTAGATAATACACCCAAACCAGGCCAGTGGTGCTAAAGGTGAGGCCTGGACTAAGTTAAATGTAGCATGTAATAAAAATCAGTTTACAATTCTGTCTAGAATCTCACCACCAACCACACACAGAGGCAGAAGTTTAAGCTTTTTCATAAAACAAGTCACTGCCATCATGGATACTCACGTATTGGACAAAACCCTAAATATGTGGTTAGGAAAAGTTGAGGATATCCTGGTCATTGTTAGGCCACTGCCTCCTTTCTATTTGTCTATCTATCCCTCATATAACGATAATAAAGGCCTGTTAAAATGTTTGTTTGCCCCAGTAAACTAAGTGGTCCATAAAACAATAGAGGGACCTGGCACAGTGTTCTTATATTTTGTCAGTGTGGTAATAAGAGTCCGGTTACCCCCTTCATTGGGACTGGAGTCTCTGCATAGCACTTGGGCAGAGCCTGTGCCAAGACAGGAGTCCGGGGATTGGTCTGCTTTTTAAGACTAGACGCTTCAAAGTAACTTGCCTGTTGGAATGGCATCCGTAAAGCCCCCACGTTGACATATGGCGCTACACGACAAGCTTCGAACTGATTCGCTGCTCCAATCAGCACTCCTGCGAGAAAAACACAGACACAGGCATGCCTTAATTGCGAGGGGGGGGGTATGCAAACCCACAAAAAAATTGTGGTAAAAAACGTGGGACTGCACAACAATAAGCAGGGAGCTGATAAGTAAACTTTAATAGATGAACAGTCTCTAAAAGAAAATCTTCTGATGGCACAATTCGCTGGGAAATGAAACTCATGCGTAAAGGTGCGGATTGTTGCGCATGCAATCGCCTTGTAATGAAATAAAATAGAATAGAACTCTGCAGTTGTGTCTTTTTTGGAGCATGCTTGGATTAATAGAAAGAAAACAACAACATACCTTTATGTAGCTGGTTCTCCTGCTTTCTGCATTTGGCTCTTCTGTTCTGGAACCAAACCTGCAGGGACAGAAATTAATTAGAGGCCCATATATACTGATTGGCAGCTGCTTGTGAGGCCACGTGTAATTCCTCTCAAAAGTGACAACAACCGCAGAAAAACAATATCCCCGGGGAGCGCTGAAATATTAATGACACTGCTTAACCCCGGGTTTCAATTATTACATTTAGCCCTACAACGAGAGAGAGGGAGGACGGAGGAGAGAAAGAGGGAGAGAGCCAGAAACAGTGGAATAAGGATGGGAGAAATAGGATATTTAAAAATGTTAGGTGCATAGAGAGTTCCTTGTTGGGAGTGTGCATGGGTATTGCACCATAATAAAGAACCTTGTGGACGTTGGTTTCATCTTCCTATACAGATGAGTGTGTGTCCACCCCCCACCCCCCTCCACCCCTCCCTCAGATATCGAATAGCAGAGATGCTGTTACAGTTTTGGGGACATCAGAGCGAGCTGCGATCTGAGAGCATCTCCCCCCCACCTCCCTCTCATTAAATGACCGCTGAAATTAATTACCCTTATCTGCAGAGAAACCCGTGTCAGAGAAAACGCTTAAAAATGCCTCGCAGATTTGTCTAATCACCGCCATAACACGCACAAAAAGAAAGAAGAAAACACAAACGCTTCAAAGACATCTCACTTCTCTTTTTCCTTCTGCTGAAATCCACCAACGATTTCAGAGAGGGGAGGGGAAAAAGCCTTGGAACACAGATTAAACGATTTATTACTATGATAATCTGCTTTGTATCTCCACACACAAAGCCAAATTAGCCCACAATACAACGTGTCAATCTGCAATCTCCCCTCACATAATGTACAGCGAGAGCATGATTGAAATATCATATTGATTTGGCTGTCAGCATGGCTTCGACTATTGACCAACATGACGTGTGTGTGTGTGTGTGTGTGTCAATCGGAAGTCCTCGTGCACGCTTCAGGTTAATTCATTGCGATGATTAAATAAAAAAAAGCAAACTGCTGATATTGATCGAGGCATGAATTTCTAAAGAGAAGAAAGAAAGAAATGTGTGGTCCCTACATGCAACTGGTAAAAAAAACAAGATATAGTACTTTAATAGAGGAGAGGGAGACAGAGAGGGGAAGAGGGAGAGATCTGTTCTTGATTTGGATAGAAAATAATACATAATTTATGTAAATCCCCGAGCTGTGGCTCCTTGTTCGGGACACAATGCGCCTTATTGGGGAGATTCCAGTTCAGGCCGGGGGAGCCCTGCAAAAAAGCTGGCTTTAAGTTTAGTTGTGTGGGGAGGGGGGGGGTAAATTTAGGATCTGCTTTTATGATTTCTTTTTTGTCATATTCAACATGGAGACAAATGCCCAGTATACTCCCCTGAGCCGGGGCACATACACAGAGCTTTTTCTTTTTTCGTTTTTGATACATCAGATGAGAAGAGTTGTCTATATGTTCATTGCCCCCTCCTCCTCCTCCTCCTCCTCTTTACTGCTCCCTTTACACAAGACATATTTGAGCCCCCCTCCCCTGACTGGCTGAAGTACTGGGTTTCTGCGCAGATGGTGGGTCCCCATGAAAAACGACAGCAGCAGCAGCTCTGACAAACATGCAGGGCCTCGCTCGGTAACATACACGCAAAACAAAAACGAAGGCAAATATGTGAAGGCTCGTTTGTTTCGCCTGATTTGGACGATGAAGATTAGAGCGAGTGTCCTGATGCAAAGCGAGGCCTCGTTAGGAGAATAACGCAAATTAAGCAGCCATAACATGCTGAGGGTACATAATATCTAATCCAAAAAAAAAAAGATGAAATGATGCCATTTTGAATTTAAAAAAAAGAGTGTGCCAAACTTGAAACGTGCAAACACCACCTCACATTTTCAGGTCTGTGCTGTAGTCAAGCAAGTGTGTGTCTGTGCAAGTGTTTCATGAAAAATCATCTATATAACCAAAACTAATTGTTTTCATCTTCAAACTATGTTGATGTTGAAGGAGAACAATATGGTGGACACGTGGGCGTCATTGGAGTAAATTGTTATTGCTTCCTCTATTATTATTATTATTAATATTAATATTGTTATTATTTACAGTAATTATAATACTTTTATTTTGTTTAAGCACATGGGTCACCCATAAGCTAATCCTTTTTTTGGAAACATTAACTCACTCGACTATGATGTTGTGTTGTTGAAGATAATAATCAGAGTGATTATTAATTTTTGGTTTTATTTCAGGGTACAACTTTTTTGTATTCTCATATTTAAAATGGGGTCAGTGTCATTGAAACACATTTTTGAATGCTGCCTGAATTTATTATTGCCATTATTATTATTATTATTGTTGAATTTTATTTGTCTTTTTTTTTCTACATTATTTACAGTTGAGTATATATATTGGTCCTACCTGTACTCGGGCCTCCGACAGTCCCAGTCGCTGGCTCAGCTCCTCCCGCATGAAGGCGTCCGGATAGTGGGTCTCGTCGAAGAGCCGCTCCAGCTCGTTGAGCTGCTCTAACGTGAAGTTAGTCCGACTTCTCCTCTGTTTGATTTTAGTCTGTGCCTCGTCCTCGATGGGCTTCGAGTCCTCCTTCCTCTCCTTCACGTCCGTGGTGCCTGGCGAGAAGAGACGGAGGAAGGGGGAGGACATCAACATCAGCTGCACCTTGACCTCCATGTCTGCGGTCAGCCTTGGCCTCCATGGTCACATGTTTATGTCGTATTTCAATCCGAGTTTGCTCCTCAGAAAAACAGGCCTCACGGAAATAAGGCTGCATCTATAATATATCTTATTAAACATCTTCATCATAACATGCACCAAACCGGCGACTTACTGCAATTAAATAGTAAGAGGCAACACAAAATAGCAAGCAATGTTCATCCACCCACACTTATTGAATACAGGCTCTTAACATTTTCGTTTATGGATAAGAAAAAAGAAAGAAAGAAAGACGGATAGAAAGAAAGAAACATGCCCTCTCAGCCCTCAGATATCACACAGCTATCAGACCTCGGATGTTTTGTAGAGCTACATAAAGCTCTTTAATTATTAACTGCTTATAAATATGCAACGCTGTGCCCACTGCTGGATGTCTCATACACGCTTGTCGCAGTTCCGCTTTTAACCACGATGCCCATGACGAACAGATGTCAATTTTTTTTACAAGCCTCCGAACTCAACTCTGAGATAAACGATGTAGATAAACCCTGTTCCCAGTGTGCTGTCACATGTTGTCCAGGTTTCATAACAACTGACTCTTTAAACGTGGGGAGGGGAAAACATGGAATTTGGTTTCTTTAAAAAATGGTTCAATACAAAATATTGTTTTGTTATTCAAGTAAATCTTAAGTATAAATTTGTACTGTTTTGATTTTGATTATTTTGATTATTTATGGTTTGCAATGGGCTATAAAGAGAGACAATACATAATTTGGGGAAACAATTTTTTCATCTATTGATTCTATTTGATATTTTTCATATGAGATGATCAGATTTGGGATCAAGCCTCCTGTCGCACCTGAGTTGCTTCAGAGAACAGACAGCTGTGTGTTTACTCGGTGAAATTGTAGTATTTTGTGTATAAAGTATATGAGATAAGTACATGGGAGCTCGTTTCTCTAATAATCAATAAAGATAAACTATAATCAATCGGGAAATTACAGGATTTTTGAGATCAAGAGCCATAATTGCACCTAGAGCCTGCTTGTGATAAAAAAAAGCATTGAACATGTAAACATTGGATTCAAGTTACAAGTTATATTATAGAATAAAACTTTTCACCACAGGAGGCCTTATCATATTCTGTGCATATATAAAGGATTTTTCTGATGCTCTGAATCTTTGATTTGAAAGTTTTTAAAAATGCACAACAGCAAGACAGAAGCGAGCTGCAGGCTTGTTATTGAAATGGAAATATTATTAGCAGATTTTAACTGTTCAGACCAGAAAAAGCAACAGTTCACGAGTTCATTCTCTTCTAGTGATCAAGCTGTAACTTCATGGAAACCCACACTAAAATCTGCAGAGATCAAATTATTGGATCACATGTTTTAAGTGTGTTTTCGTAAATAAAATCGTTTCTATGCTGAGTACATGGTGTTCGATCACTCTACAGTCTCCCTCCTCTCTTTCTAGAACTCCTTCACGGACGCACAACAGCCACGCATGCAGCTCCCTACCGTCAATGAGTTTGGGGCTCCCGGCGTCCCTAATCCTCTCCGGGCCGAGCATGTCCGTGTCCCTGCCCGGCGAGAGCGCGACGTTCCGGGTGACTGCGGCCGCCTCCTCTCGGCTTCCGGGCTCCGCAGATAAAGGCTCCCTGCCCGGCGTTCGCGTAGAGCCGGTCTCCAAAACCTCCCGGTAGGTGATCACTTCCTTCTTCTCCTTCACTTTCTGATCGAAGGACTTCGACACGAAAGCGGTGAGCTCTTCCATCACTCTCCTTCACCGGAGGAAGAAGAGGAAGAAGAGGAGGAGGAAAAAAAAAAATCACACACCACCACACACACTCATGCACTCGATCCCTTCTGCTCCACGGCCGCTTAGAGACATCAATGGTGGGGCTCGTTTTAAAGTCGACCCATTGAAAATGATACGAGGTGATGCTGCCAACTCTGGTTTAAATAAAAAACACTACATATATATTTATATAGAAGCTCTAACGATGTGTCTTCTCAGCCAATTCCTCCTCCTTTGGTTGCGGAGTTGGGAACCTGCTGGTGATCCTCTATTGAAGTCACAGTATTTATACTTTGCGGCGCCTTGCCCCCTTGATCCGTGCAAATTACCTCCCCTCAGGATGCCGGGATGAGCCCCCCCACCCACCTCCCTCCCTCCCTCCCTCCCTCCCTCCTTCACTGATATGGGAGAGAGAGAGAGAGAAAGAGGAGTTTAGAAAAAAAAAATCATTAAGCAGCACCTTCGCTATTGGCCATTAATCTGAGATTGACAAGATGGACTAATTAATTTAATTAAGCGCTCATTCGCTGCTATTGTCCTGAGTTAGTTTTTTAAACACTCGGGAGATGAGGATGTCCCTCTCTCCCCCTCTCTCTCTCTTTCTCTCTCTCCCCCTCTCTCTCTCTGCAGGGGTGTGGCTTAAAAAAAGCCTGAAAATGACAAGAGAGAGGGAAGCACATGGATGAGGAGTCCTTCCTCACTCTGTCTCCCTCTGATCTGTGGTGATGGTGGGATGGGATGGGATGGAGGGGGGGATAAAGACAGCGATGACATGGAGAGAGAAGAGGTAAAAAGCGGACCAGCTGGGATGCAGAGAGGAGCGTGCAGCGGCGACGTGCAAGCACTGAGAGCTTTTCACAGAGAGAGGAGGCTCGACTGAGTATTTGGCTTCACCAGTTGCACTGATATATACACATGGTTTTAGGCCCGTGGTAAATTTACGCTAAAGTATTTTTAATTTTGATTTAAAACGTAATTTCAATGTAAAATATTAGAAATTAAATCAAATGTAATAAAAAATGTGCATATAATATATAAGAATTGACGACTAACTAAATGTTGCATTCGAATGATAACAACATTTATAATAATCGAAAATATTATTATTATTATTAACAGCAACAATGATAACAATAAAACTAGTAATAATAATAATATGGGGCATGCACGTCAGGCTATTGAAATGTATTCAAATTAATAAATTTTGTGAACTCAGTGAAACAAATTATTCAGTGCGTCAGTTTATGTTTCTAATCAGCAAATTATGTATTTTAAATTGTCATCATTAGTGAGACTATATCGCTTAATATTAATTCTCAGTGGACTTTTTTTTCTTCTTCTTCTTCTTTACGCCATTAGGATGTTAAATAGCAGCTAAACGTTTAATTACACGCTGCCTCTCGCGATGCCATCGCCATTGGGCTCACTAATTAACGCTGGGTTTTGTTTTTTCCTGCCGCTGAAAATTATCGCAAGTTATTTGCCAGAATAAATAAACAATGGCTGCACGTGCGGCGAAGGTGTCAGTGAACGCATCGGAGAGAGAGAGAGAAAGAGAGAGAGAGGCACCAATTAAATAGGAAGAGGAGGTAACGTATATAATATCCAGGGATGTAACCGGATACAGCGGGATTTTAAAAACGTCGGGATGATTCTGATGCAAAATGAAGCGTGTTTATTGATAATCTATGTAAAACCCTAATTCCACAGAAGAGCTCCAACAATTCCCCCTAATTAAATATTAACCACGTTTCAGCTCCAACCTTAGGCATTAATTACTATTATTCCTGCTGCATCCTTATAAGCAGGACGAATTCCCAATCGAGCCCCATTAAAACCTTTATTCTCTTCAGCCATCTGTATTACTCGCGTTATCGATTCATTTACTCGCAACACTTTAACGGTTCCTTTCACCTCCTCTCATCATCTATGTGTTTTTATTTTATTTCATAAAGTTATTTATTATCCCACTTTGCTGAGGATGTGTTTGGTTGCCCTCACAGCTCTCTGCGTGGAACCTAAAATAATGATAATAAATAAATAAATAACGTATTATTCGAGAAATATAACCTCATGCAAATCATCACAGGCAAGTTCCAATTCTCAGTTCCTTGTGTTATCGCTTGTGGTGAGTGGGTATTGTGAGATCCAAACTAAATATGAGCAGCCCACACTTTAAATAGACGAGAATAAACATTATTATTAGGAGCGTATTCATTTGGAATATTTCCAGTTGACTGCAGGAGATGCAAAAAGCGACCTGAGAATAACAGCAGTCACAATGAACACGAGAGGGCTTGTTGATGCCTTATTATAATTTAGCCTTCTTATTGTTTCTAGATTTATGAAACACGATTTGGGTCGAATATATTTTTTCCTTTTTTTTCTTTTTTCAAAATATCTTCACTTTTGACTTTTTTTTTCTTTGCCTTAAATAACCTACATCTGCCATGCAATTGTAGAAATACAAATATTTCTCTGTAGCTTCATTGAAAATATATTTGAAGTCACGATATTATTATTTTATAACTTAATTATACATTAAAAAAAAGTTATTATTTTAGCTCATTCATGAAAACTAACAGCACCAATGAGATATATCGACTGCTCTGTGTGTGATTCTCCTTGTCTGCTCTCCATCGATGCTCTCCGGCTCCACCAGCAGCGTCTTCGGGAGCAGTGCATGTTTGAGTTGTGGAGCTTCGCTGCGATTTAAAGGTGAGAAGCGGGATTTTCATTCACAGGCAACTTTCCCTCTTTTCTCCCGCATTTCGTCTTTCACGCAACGTTTATCCACGACAGCGGGATGCGTGTTTACGGTCGAACAGCTAGAAAGCCCCAGTAAAAACGAGAGCTAAAGCTAAATGTTAGTGTAGTTAGCGCAGTTAGCCTGCTAGCTAGCCTCCACAGAAACACGCCGTTTGTTTATTTACGTCCTTTATATTGACATTATGGGACAGCAGGGTTATTATAGCTGTTATTGTGTCTTTAAACACAAAACTGTTACCTCCATATATGTAGCTGATAAACTAAGCTACATGTTGTAGTAGCTAGCTCCCCAGCAAGATCCTTTCCCACCACTTTAATAATGTAGTATTTGAATATGGGGTGCAGAGGCTTGTGTTGTTGGCTTCCTATAGTTGTGTTGTGTTACTTTTGTCTCAAATCCAGATATATAGCATCTCATAAACCCAGCTCGTGTGTGTGTTTTGCTGACAGTCAGCCAGCATCATGGGCCGTCGCACCTCCGACAGTGAGGATGATGGTCGCAGCAAGAAGAAGAGAAAGCAGCGACGCCGTTCATCCTCCTCTTCCTCCTCTTCGTCCTCATCCTCCGGCAGCAAGGTGACCAGCAGCAGGGGTCGCAGGTCCAGTCGACGGAGCCGATCTCGCTCCAGAGACAGGGACAGAGACAGAAGGTGAGAGGACACAGAAGGCTCGTCTTTCCTACATAGAGGTGACAGGGGTGAACACTGTGAGTAGCTGACTGTCCTTGAAGGAGACAGACTGTGTTTGTGATCTCCTGGAGAACTGGCTTCTTGTAGAGGAAAGATTCACCCCGTCTCATCAGTGGCTTATAAAGTTATAAGTATAAACCAAAATACATTTCCTAGCTCAGCTCCTACTTTAAATGGCTAATCTTCTCTGTAGTTACAAAACTGTTTGTGCATTTCTTGTCATCTTGTTTTTTTTACAGCTATTTGCAAGGTTAATTATGGCTCCATTGTTAAGACCAACACTCTAACTTTGCAGTTAGTGCAACAGTTGTTTAAGGCCTCTGATGTATTTAATCCTTATCTGAAGCTACAAAGCTATACTTGAGTTCTCACCATCTTACGTACTGCCCCAGTGTAGGCTGTTATCCTTAATCTCAATAACTTGTTTTTAATGTAGCTTCGTAACACCTGACCAAAGACTACACATCATAAACAGCTTCTGGGCTAACACTGGCACATTTATACTAATCTTTACCCATTAATAGGTCAATGTACACATTAAAGGGTATCAGTAAAAATTCAGAAGTTTTACCGATATGCCTTTTTGTTAGCAGATAGTCTGAGCTGTCATTGTAGGAAAATCACTGATGTTACCAGTTACATGGATAATAGGACTTTGTCAGAACAAATATGCTCCACGGAACATGTCACAGGAGGAAAAGAACAAGTGTAAATGATACAAGAAGTTATGACTGAATTCCATTTAGCTGCTTCACTTTCAGGGTTCTGATATTTTGAATGCTACGTGACTATCACATGGCAATGTCCTATTGGGAAACTTAAGCTGAAGACTGCTTTTCTGGCTGTGACAAGTCACAGTGTCAGTTATCAGTGTCCGTGTGACAGTGAATCAGAATGAATAAAACCACAACCCTGAAACAGAAGCAACAGGCAATTTTAAGCTATCATTTACATATGTGCTTTTCATATTGTGACATATCAATATGTGAAAAGGAGTTTTTTTGATTTAAATTGTGAATTTATTGATCAAGTAAGATTGTAGTCTGTTTTTATAGTTTTTGCTCCTGTTCAGGTTAATTGTTTACATAGAACAGTGGTCACTGAAATACCCGAGGCTGTTTGAAAGGAATTCCAGCTAAGGAGTCTGCTTAGATTTGAAATCAGCTAGCTGAAATTTTAATCAAGTCTCAAACATTTAAGTTGCACATATAATTTCCACAGAAACAATGTTTATTAGCAGCATATGAAATTACTCTGGCCCTATGAGTCTTGTGTTTAGGTGAGAGGATATTTTGCAGCTAAACACCTAGAACTCACTTTAGTCAAAGTGAGATGGTCACCATTGCATGAAAGTTAGTTATATCTTGAATATTTAGAAATTTACATATGGGTGTTTTTATATGTGTTATTTTGTGTCTAGTCTTTCTCAAGATACATGAAAATAAAAAAAAAAGGGCAAAGCTGAGACATAAACATTTTATAAGGTGCCACTGGTTGTATAAGCTTGTTTCTAAGGTATCACGGTGTATAAAGTATCACACATAGATGCTTAGCAGTTGTTGAGGAAAGGGGAAGCTCAATTCTAATCACATCTTTTCAAGTGGCTATGTTGCTGGACGTGGCCTCTACCATCCATCCGTACCTGCCACAGGCTGTGTGTAGCTGTACCGTCAAGGCCACTGGATGGTAATTATTTATGAAGCTCGGTCAAGGTCCATTACTGTTGATGGGAAGTCATTGCTTGTCTGTACAGGGTGGGGCCGGGTGGGCAATGTAAACC